TCGGCCGCACGCCCCACCGGCTGCCGTCTGCGGCTGAGCCGGCCGCGCCTGGGTGGCCGCCACGGCCGAGGCCGTGTGGTGCCCCGCCGTGCCGCCATATTTCGTGCGCTAAGCGGCCCCGTCTCCCCACTCCCATTCAGCGCTGGCTGATTTACAAGTTTGACAGGGTCATCATCGACACGGCGCGGGTCTCGGCGGCCCGGCCCGCGCGCCTCGCGACCATGCACGAGCCGGCGGCGCGGCCTCCACCCATGTTTACGGCGCCTGCGCGGCCGGCCAGCATCCGTGAATGGGCGGCTATGAGCGATCGCGACCGCGCTGCTAGCGACCGACCGACAGCTGCGGCCGTATGTTAGCATCACGGGCCGCCTGCGCTGTCCCCGGCCGTGCAGAGCGCGGGCCGGGACGCCGCCGGGCTGCTGCGGGCCGATAAAGCAGCGCTATGACGTCACCCGCCGCCGCCCGGAGCCGGCTCCTGGCCGCGGCCGGGGCGCCGCGGGCCGGGATAACGCCAACACGTGAGCGGCGGGCGCCGCCTGAACGGGCGGCCGAGGGCGCGGAGGGTCGTAAGGACGCGCGGCGCCGGAACTGGTGAGATCTGACGCAGTCGGACGAGCTGGAATGTTAGAAGCACGCGGCTATGGCACTCACCTGTGCCTGGGTCGAAGCCGAGACTTCGCAGACAAACTGTGACCGTAGAAACGTACTGTTAGGATGAAGAAATAAGTTCTACAAGTGGGATGCCGTTAGTTCTTCGCCTGCGGCTTTATAATAAAACAAAATGGCACCGCACGGTGCGCCCAATTCCGTCAATTAGTCCCACTGTCATGGAGTGCTGGATCCACTACCAACACATGGCAACGAAGCCACAAGTTCAGTTGTTTTGTATGCAGAATGTGCATGGTGACGATTAAGTGGCTTCAGCTCGAAAAAAATGTGGCGCTTGATTGCCGAAAATTTCGGGAAGTTTCTCGCCCTGCCAATTTGGCGGTCGTTTAGAAAAGGTTGAACGCGTTTCCTCCGAGTTATCGACTGAGGTTTCCTCTCCTTTACATTGTTTGCAAACGTCACGCGTCTCTGTATCTGCCTTGATACAAATCCCATTGTGATGAGATGGTCTCCTGATCCGACTGTTAACAAGACTTGGCCCATGGATATAATGCACAATGTAGGCATATACATTACGTCCGTTCGTATCGAAGGCTATCCAGGGGACACCGTTCAAATCACCTGCTACAAAACGGGACATTTCCTATAAACTTAAGTCATGAATGTTATGCATTTGGCTCAAAGAGCAATTGTCATGTACTACCTACACAAATTAATGGATCACGTGCCATTATGGCGAAATTAGGAGCTGAAAGAGATACAGCATTTACTAAAGGCGTCCAAACTAGCATCGCACAGTAATGGACCAAGGCCTGGCAGGCTACTTGCTCGTGACAGGCCGTTTCATTTTACTGCCCGGCTAATGTGGCGCACGGCAAGGAACGATGTCCCTCAAGGACCTGTCTGAACAGTCGGGATCCACTGTTTGATCATTTGTGATTGCGTCAGGTAGAAATATCACAATTTAAGGCAGTCCATTAGACAAATTTATCGCAATTTATAGTTCCAAAACCCCACCTGGGCTGCCATAAAGAAGCGTATTGGTGTTTTACCGCTCATTGTCGGACAGAACAAGCATTTTTAGGGCGTGCCGCCGGGCCGCTGTGCCCAAGCACTTCTATGAAATAATCGACGGACAAATTATTTCCCATATCGGCCGCGCCCGCCGCCCCAGTACGTGCTCATCTGAACTCTCCAGGGGCGCTCGCTGCACGGTTTCAATTAGTTCCCTGTTTTATTGGCCATTAATGTATAATTGGTTACCACCCAAATTTTACAGATTCTCGACAAATTGGCAGCCAGGATTTCGAACCAGCCGGTCGCCCCCTCGCTCGCTCCAGCGTGAATGGAAATGAGTTAGACCGCCCCTGCTTCTGGCACAAATTATAATCTTTATTTAACAAATTAGACGCAATTTGCTAAGTATCATATCGCTGGGTGGCACGGCACGGTGCAGCCTCAAAGATACCGGCCTTGGTACTGTTACACTTTCTAATTCGTAGGCCGGGTAATGGCGTAATTGAACGCAATAATTTGCGTTTACGATAATGTGTAGCTCATCTGGTCCTTGGACATCAAAGCGTTTCGCAGCTTTTTATGCCTGTATAACGTGATCACATCCCATTTGCAGATGCAAAGGTGTCGGTTATAACGCCAGGGTGCTTATCCTAAGCAAACGTCCTAATGTATGGTTTCGCAACACGAACCGAGAACACAGGGCGCCGCCGCGCACTTGACTGTGTACTGGACGGTTTTATCTCGCGGTGGGTATTACCGCCCGGCCGTGTTTCGCGAGGCTCCGTCACGGCGCGGCCAGTGCCCCCGCACCTCCGGTGCAGGGGCTCCGCCGGCGGCCAGAGCCGACGGCCACGCACCTCCGCTTCTTCACCCGAAAACTAACGTGAGAACCGATGTCGGCAATGGCCTCGGCTTTCGCTTCTTTTTTTGATGGTTTATGATCAGTTGGGCTTACATAATGATTACTAGCTAATTTGGGTATAGTTGTGGGCTGTACAACCGCATTCAGTCGCTTTTCTGTTCCGCTCCGTGCTTTCTATTTCCACGGAGGCAAATACATGGAGGTTCCTTAACGTCGCGCTCAACTGACGAGCGGTTGCAGTGTTTGATTCGGCAACATCCCAATAACTCCAGCGTTCGATCCGCCGCCCGGAGCGCGCCATGATGACTGACAGGCCTTGAAAGGGCCGTCACTTCCGCGGGCTCTTCATCAGAACCTGTCGCCCGGCCGGAAGACCTGACGCATTAGCCTGTTCGGTAGCACTCCCAGGTGGCCGCCCGCCGGCGGCGCCACACTCACAAAAACCCCCATTTCCGGCCGCACTCGCTGGCCGCAGTCCGGCGCGGCGCGCGTTTTTCTGACGCCACAATTCGGCGCGAACGCCGCCGCGTTTAGCGGCGCTCGGCGCGGCTATTTTGGCGCGCGCGCGGCGGCCGACGGGCGCTGTCCGCCGATGACAGGCCGCCGCCGGATCAAAGACCGCCCGGCTGCCGGACCATTTCACGGCCAGGCGAGTCCGTCCCTCAGACGCATCATAACGCGGCGCGGCCGCTGACGGCGCGGCGGCGGCGGCGGCCGCGCGCGCCCTGTTCGCCGTCACGGGGCGGCGGGGAGCAGGCCGACGGCCGACAGCGGCAGGGTGCGATCAAAGCCGGCGCCGGGCCGGCGTTCGCCGCCGCGGCTCCGACGCTGATTCAGAGCGGGCCTCCGGCTGCCGACCATTCAGATGCGCCGCCGCCGGCTTGTGAATGACCGGGCTACCAGTGACGGGAAGCCCGCCACGGCGCCGGGATGGAGAGCGCAGCGTCACCATCAGCTGACTTGAGCTGGAGTCCACTCGGGTCGGGTCGACCGCGAATCTGAACCAGGGCTAGTGGGGCTGAATCCGAACCCACTTCAAAGTGCCGGTTGAAATACAGAGCCGAATTCGAATCCTCCTTCCTTAGTGCAGAATGTGATTCAGCCATTCAGCTAATAGAGGCAAATGCAAACGTGATTTTGGTCTGAACGGAACCGATTCCGGACTCGGGTCAATTCCTCTGGAGCCAAGCACAAGTCTGCCCACCAGAATCATGACAGCAGCTCAGATAAAAGCTCTGAAGCATGACCGGGTCCGCCAGAACGTCCGAGCAGAACACAACATACTGAGGCCAAAACCAAGAGTCGGCCGATACTATTCTGTCGCTAAAGCTGCCTGAGTGTGCTGTGCAGCAGATGTTTTGCGAGTATCTTGCGCGTGCATGTCCGGTCGCCGAGAGGCTACACCCGGGGCAGCATCGCCAGCACCGGCAGCCCTGGCAGCACCGGCAGCACCGGTAGCACCGACAGCACTGACAGCACCGGTAGCACCGGTAGCACCGACAGCACCGGCAGCACCGGCAGCACCGACAGCACCGACAGCACCGGCAGCACCGACAGCACTGACAGCACCGACAGTACCGGCAGCACCGACAGCACCGGGAGCACCGGCAGCACCGACAGTACCGACAGCACTGGCAGCACCGCCAGCACCGCCAGCACCGCCAGCACCAGCAGCACCGACAGCACTGACAGCACTGACAGCACCGGAAGCACCGGCAGACAGCACCGGTAGCACCGGCATCACCGGCAGTACGGGAGCCGTACGTCGCTCGCCGTCCGAATTAGCAGCGGCTTGATGGCCGGCGGACAGCGGCTGGTGTCACGTTCCATCAGCAGCCCCGGCACCTGGGCTGAGGTGCAAACGTGGTGTAACGTGATCGCCGACCTGTCTGCCGCCGGCCGGATCAAAACAGCCGGCTCGGCTGCCCCGGCGCTGGGCAGGAGGACGGTGACCTCGCCGTGTGCCCGTGCCCCAGCAGTGACGGGCCGGAGCGCAGCTGTCGAGAGCGGACCGCTGGTGCCTCTCGCCACACCCGCTCGCAGGCCTGCTGCGTTCAGCTTCAGGGAACGGTGTGGCCCGCAGTGACGGTGGATTCTCTGAGGAGATAGAGATGGGAGAAGGGGCGAAATAAAGCGATATTTACGTCGCGTATTCCCATGCGGCGAAGTGGAGTCCTTATTATTTATCTCACAGATGGGATGACTTTCCTGCTGCCTCATCCCCTTTCCCCCGTTCGTGGTCATCCACTCCCTCCCACCGGCCAAGATGACAGGCTGCGAAGGCTCGGTGGACAACTCACGGACCCCCCCTCCGGCAATATCCTGGTGAAGCCGGCTGGAGATTGTGAGGACAGGAGGACATCTGAATCCCATTCTTCCCATCACATGTCACGAATTTAACGTTTGGGTTACAACCCCCCCCCCCCCCCTCCTGCCTCTCTCATCATTCCCCTCGATGGCGCCGCCCTGCCGCTGAGCCTCCGTCCAGTCCAGCTAAGCCTGCGTCCTCCAGTTTCAGAGAAGGAGGACGAGCTGGCGGCCGAGGCGCTCGAGGGCAGCGACCGCGGCACGCCCGAGGTCTCCTCCACCGTCGAAAACGGCGGCCGCGACGACAAGGACGACAGCAAGCGGACTCCCGACGGCGTCTGCACGTGCGCCGAGCTGCAGGACGTGCAGTGCACGCTCGAGACCAAGGAGCTCTGGGAGAAGTTCCACGAGCTCGGCACCGAGATGATCGTCACGAAGACCGGCCGGTAAGTGGGCGTGACGTGACGCACGTGCAGCGGCTGTGGCGCCGGCCAGCGCAGCGGGTTTTACGCTGGCGCGCGGTCGTAGGCGGATCACTGCTTGAGTCGCCATACATGCTATAACTGAAAAAGACAAGTGTTGTTCACTTGTTGGCCATGCCTATCAAATCTTATTAGAGCCACTTTTTGGAACAACAATTGTAAAAAGACCCCAGACACGACCAGTTTAGAAGAAGCTGGACAAAATGTCAGCAAGCTAAAGACAATGGCATACATAAAGGATGCAAAGATTCTTGCGTAAAACGAGCTCCGACCCTGGAAAATGAAGTGGCCTGAGCTTTTGCAAAACAAATTTCACACTAGCAAATCACCTGATGATGATAAGCAGCACTAAGCACCACTGGCAAACCTTTTTGACATCCACAGTCGACAGGCGATTGGGGCCTTCTACCACGTGTGAGCAATTTAACGCAAAACAGTTGGTAATGCTTTGAATTCTCTGGCCAAAGGAATGCATGCCATTTTTAAGACCGTATCTAGAATTAATGAAAATAAAGCAGGAATGCTGTAGGGCTTGTCCCGCTTCTTTGTACCGCTGCGCAGCTCATGTAAAGAGGAGTCCCGGTGGAGGCTTTCGCTGGAGAACGGACGGCGGCAGGCACACCTAGCGGCCCAGAGGCTGCCACCCGGTCGGGCGGCTGACTGCGGCTAACAGATAAAGGCCACTCCGGTGTCAGGCGCTGGCGGCCTCAGTCGGCCGCCGGCCGCTAATATGGCGCACGTCTGAATGGAGCGCGCCACTCTCACAGCGGCTCAAAGAGCGTCACTCTCACCTCGTGCCCCTCCTTTTGAACTCCTGACCGCGCTGTCAGAATCTGATCGCGCGCGGCGTGCGTGAAAGCCGGCGGAATTTTACGCCATTTTTTGTCACCAGCCTTCGGCGGCCGACGACTGGCAATTACCGATTTGGCCTGCTCGTCACCGGGCTTGGCGCGCAGACGGCGGTCGGCTGGGCCGCTGCACGCCGCGTGCAAATTACCCCGCCACCCGCCTGGAGGCGGCCGACGGTTACTGGCGCTGGTGAGCATCGGCAGGACGCGATAGGCCGGTCTGGAGGCAGTTTTTCCGACCGTGGCCGAGCCGGGGCGCGCCGGCAGGCGGCCGCTGCCGCCGACGCCGTGCAGCAATGGCGGCGGCCGGCGCCGTGCTGAAATATGACACTTAAACACCGGCTGCCAAATGGCGAATTCTTGTCACCGCCGCCTTCGCGAGCCCTGGGCAGGCCTAATTGCCCGGCGGCGGCGCTGATTAATCGGCGCCGCGCCGGCGAGCGGCGTCGCCGCCGCGCCGCGAACGGCCGCGCGCTGCTGTGTGAACAATTGTCACCACTTGGCCGGCGCCGCTCGCCGCCTAAGCGGCTGGCGTCACGGGCGGGGCGCGGCAAACGGCCGTCGGCACGGCACGGCCGCCCGCGAGTCCGCCGGACGTTCACCACACGACCGGCCACCACCGACGGCGCCCGGCCGCCGCCGCCGACGGCGGGCGAGTCCATTGTGACCTCATTTGTGCCGAGGTTTGAGGACGGCGCTCACGAAACGGGGCTGAGTGCGCGAAATGCTGTGACAATGTATGAGTTGCAAAATGTCGCGCGGCCGTTACGTCATCGGGTGGTGACCCAGGCATGCACTGAGTCGGCGTCTTGCTGTCACCCACTGGCAGATATTCAGCGGAGAACGGCACATGCAGCCGATCAAGCGAGCCGTCACTTTTCAGTTGGATTCATCTCTGTCTTTTATTCGCATTATCTACCGCTACACATCTTACCTCCCAGTTCAAACGAGTCCCTTTATTCTGACCCTGGCATGCGAATGCATTCGTCCCAACAACCTATGAATTCGCCTCATTTTCTAAACCACGTGATCGATCAATCCTCGCGATTATATATCCTTGTCACGTCAGAAGCGCGCACGGAAGGCACCTCGTTTCATACGCAAGACCTGCCAGTCTTTCGTTACATTCCCATCGGCGGGGTTTCCAAATCGTGTGAGTAGTCGTTGGGCCAACAGCTCCGACCCAGCGGCCCGCCGGAGCGCGTTATTCACGGGGTGGGGCGTGCCTTGCATCACCCCCGGCTGCCGGCGGCACAACGGGTTTGTTTGTGGAGCAGTCCTGGAATACCTGAGGGGCATATCATGTTTTCCCCTCAGCTCTGGCCGGGTGCTCCCGAATATGCGATGGGGTAGTGAGGCGTGCTTAAGAGGGGTTCAGCGTCGCCGAGAGTTTTGCGAGGTTCAAAAATAGCCGCAGGGAAGATGCGTGCTAATTTGAGTGCGTTATACGCCTGGCTGATCGTCACAGATGCAGATCGGCTTCTGAATCGGGGTATCCGCATCAGATTATCTGAATCGGAGTACCTTAATCGGATTTTCTGAACCGAAGTATCTAAATCGGGCTGTCTGGATCGGACTATCCGAATCGGGTTTTCTGAACCAGAGTATCTGAATTGGACTATCTGAACTGGAGTAACTGAACCGGGCCATCCGAGTCAGATTTTCTGAACTGAAGCATCTGAATCAAAGTGTTTGTTTCGGACTATCTGAATCGGAACAGAGCTTTCAGTAATCACTCGTCACTAGCACTGTGAAGGAATTCGCACAATCTCATATAATTCTGTTTTCCTATGAAGGAACTACATTCGCGTTGCGACTAAGCCAGTGCTGAGGGATGAGGTCAGTGATGAAGTCACCGTGGTTGTGGGAAGCTGAACGCCTTCCGTGATGATGATGCCCACGTGACGGCTGTGATGGTGGCGTTCTTCACGTCCCTGCGTTCTGTGGCGTGGGTCGTAGCAGGATGGGTGGGAGGAGAGAGAGAAGGAGAGAGCAGAGAAGAAGAGGAGATGAGAGAGAGAGAGAGAGAGAGAAGAGAGAGAGAAGGAGAGAGGGAGAGAGAGAGAGAGGAGAGAGAGAGAGTGAGAGAGAGAGAGGAGAAGAGAGAGAGAGAGAGAGAGAGAGAGAGGAGAGAGAGAGAGAGAGAGAAGAGAGAGAGAGGAGAGAGAGAGAGGAGAGAGAGAGAAGAGAGAGAGAGAGAGAAGAGAGAGAGAGAGAGAAGAGAGAGAGAGAGAGAGAGAGAGAGGGAGGAAGTAAGGGGAGAGAGGGGAGGGCGAGTTGCTGCCTCAGTCCCCCAAGAACCCCGTGAAAGAGTTCACAAGCAGGAATCTTAAGGGTAGTCCGAACGTTCGGTGAATTTGTGCCGCTGAGGCCATGGGCCACCCCCCCCCCCCGTGTCGATACAACAACCTAAGCGGTTGGCTGAACCCCCAAGTAAGGCTGTCCAAACCATCGGAAATGTTCTCAACACAGCGCATGCGCGAGTGCGGTTCTCAGGCATTCGGCACCGTTTCCATCCCACTCCACATTCACACCACGCAATATGCTAATGTGCAACGGAACGAATGACACGGAATCATGTTTCATTTATCGAAGCCATCCTGATCCACCAGTCATTCCCGTTGCTGCCCACAAAGCCCCTCCCGCTCTTCGGTGGCTGACTTCACATCAGCTCCAGCCACCTCTTCGGCCGCGCTCGGCCGGCTCAGATGGTGTGGTTCACAGGGAAGGACGGACGGCTGAAGGACGGCTCACTTCGCTCCACTGCCTTGGTCTCGGCGCGGTCAGCTTACTGCTGCGTTTGTGCTGGCCGCCCAGCGTGAGCGCCTACAGACCTGGCGCTCCTCCTTTTCTCTTGGTCAGCGTTCCGCTCACAGCGCGTGCAGCCTTTGAAGAAGCCATCGTATGTCAGCTGCGAAGACCACCGAAGAAGACACGACACGGCCAATCCCTGTCACGGACAAGTGGCACCTCGCGCTCTATTGACGTCAGCCTGCGAAGCGCACCCCAGCCCTCGCTCAACCTACACGTCCAAGCCCGTATCCAGGAGGAGATGGCCTGCCGGGCTGAGGCCCCTCCCAAGACGGCGGAAAACCACTCAGTTTGCATTGCTCTTCCACGATTTTATACCGGCGGTATCAAATTCGGAACTTGGTCCTCCAAAGAACTTTGCCCTCCCGATACGCCCTGCTAGAGCTGTCTCTGTGCACACGGCTCCCGACGGGCCAGTCGCGGCCCCGGCGGGCCTCACAGCGTGACCGCGCCAGCTGCGGCCGCGCGTGCCGCGTCGACCCGGCGTCAGGGCGGCCGGCGCGCCGTCGGCCGCGCCACGTGTGCCACCGCGACGGGGTGCCGCCGGCGCCGCCCCGGCCGCGACCCGTCCGCTCCTGCGACATGTAAATTGGCGGCGCCGAGGAGCCGGCAGCCGTCGGCGGCCGCGCTGCAGCCTGCAAACGGCGGCGCCTGCAGCGGCGCGCCCCACGCGCCACCATTGTCCCGCCGCGCCGCAATGAGCGCCACAATGCGCCGCGCCGCCGGTTTTTCTTGCGCGCGTCGAAACTGTCAAAAGGGGCGAACGCGAGCCGCGGATGGGCCCCATTGTTGTTGTGACGGGCCGAGGATGCGGCGACACGCAACCGGTGCACGCTGTTTGGCGGCCACGTGGCAGGGTGGGCTGGGGTGCGGTGGCTGCCAGGCGGGCGCGGGCGCCGCCGGAGAGGCTGGTGTACCCTCAGGCGGGATGGAGGAGCTTCCTGCCGGGCATTGTGAGCGAGCCGAGCTGCCATGGCCAAAGCCGCGAACGCCACGAGCATACTCTGCGACTCATCTGTCACCGCGAGAGTACGAGGCCGCTCGCGCGGGACAGAGCCTGAAACTGGATTGGACAGACGCGGCAGGAGGCGGAAAGTAAAGTACCGAGGCGGAGACAATCTGACGGCGCAGCGACAGAGGCAGGGACTCCGGACGGACGGACGCGGCTGCCAGACGGCGGGGAGGGTGCGTGGGCAAACAAGGCGGACACTTCGGCGGACACGCAGCTCTTGGTGCCGGACACCAAGGGCCGCCACTCCCGGCTGTGGCCCCGCCGGACGGAGGGGCCGCGCCCGCCTGATGAAG